AGAGTGTTATATGAGGAGTACAGTGGACAAACAGTGCCGGGTTGTTTGGGTGTTATTTTATAGCTGCAGCAAGCAGAAATCTGGGGGAAAAAACCCAAAACTGCCAGAATTTGAAATACACAGCTCTCCTCTTGCAGCTCTTCCTTTTCCCCCGATGCTTTAGACGTGCAAAGACAGACAAGGTGCAGGTGTAGCTTCACCTGCAGCCTGAACCCAACTCCTTCTACGATAAGTCTCCATCTAATCCATTGCATCACCACATCTGCTCAATGAAAAGACTGGCTAAGATCTCCCACCCCAGGCTAGATTTTTTCAAAGCCTGAAAACACAGCCAGGAGGAGGTGCTTTCAGTTCCTCTCAGATCACTTGAATTAAAAAAAAGCTGCCTACTCCAGCTTTATGCAGCCGAGTTAATGCTACTCAGAACTAATAAATAACCATGGAACAGATTAAAGGAAACTTTGATGTGATTATGAGCTGCATGGGTTCACGGCAACTGTCAGGTACATTTCCACGTCGTATAAATCCGTGGGATGAATCACTGTCGCTCGTTGGCCTGCCAGAAGCTCTTCTCACAAGCGTGCTCATTGACAATTAGACACCATGTACTCGTACCTGACATTTTGTGAAAAATCAATACCACAGTCGCGTCCGTGCATGTCAGCTAGCTTTGTTTAGCAGATAAGACCAGAGAAAAGAACAGCTGGAGAGCATAAAGGATATTTCCTAAAATGTCAAATTATTTCGGTATGAGTGGCATAGTATATTCTCTTATTAAAAAAAAAGAAGCCAGGAATTAACACCGTGAAAATAAGCGAAAGAACTCTTCGTTTTCAAACTGCATGTAGAGTTCACAGTTGGATCTGTTCACAGAGGGCACAGCAAGCCAAGAAAATACTTGTAAGTTGAGGCGAAATAGGTGGAAGCAGAGAATCGAAATGGGGAAACTGGGACATGAACCTGTGCTCAGGTTCACTTCTCAGGGAGCGATAAGAAAATTCATTTTTCCATGTTTATCAAATGCATGCATCCTGGTGGGCTGCAGTGGTCCTGAAAATAGCCAGATGAAAATATGTTTTATAATTGTGCTGTTGCCTGTGAGTACCCTACCAGCCACAGATCTGTGGGCATCTGACAACCTGTCAGAATGGTCTCATCATTTGATTTTGGTTTACAAACCGGTGGTTGAGAAACTCTTTAGTTGCTGCTTATTCCACAAATCTGACACGTACAAGAATATCATAAACCGGGTTCATTCAAAATGTCCACAGCTGATTATAAAGGCATCGGAAGCTACAAAATGAACGTAGAAAATATAAAAAACATCATAAAACAGCAAATCTTAGTTGGAGCGGGACACACAAATCCTTTTGAGTTAAGACCTGGGAAGAGAGAAAAGGAAAAAAGAAATGATAACATTAGAAACATCCTCATACAGACCTATTAAAGCTTTGAACAAGGATAAAACATTTCATATTTCTACCACACAGTAATGGTCACTCAGTTTACATACAGACTATATAAAAAAATTAACATAGTGGCCATTATGTCACCCATTTTGAAGCCGCTAGTTGGCATTTGGCCATGATTTTCTTGGTCTTTTGAAACTGAATGCAGCGATAGGTGCGTCTGAGGGGCAATATACATGGTGATATATGTGCGACCTGTCAATCAAAAGATAGCCACGCCCTAAAACATACTGTGCTTTATTGTCTATTTTACTCTAAATGTGACCATAATTTACAGAATGAACGCCATGCTGCATTTAAAACCCCTTAAAATTAGTGATTGAGACCATAAGCTCATTTGGAAAATGTTTACTGAGGTAACTAATCAAGAGAGAAGTGGGCTCATTGTGTCATAGACTTCTATACAATCTGACTTCTTTGTGGAACCAGATGAGTCTCCCCCTGTTGGCTGTTAGGAAGAATGCAGTAGTCTATAGCCAACATGCATCCAATGGAGCAACTCATGTGTACAAATGGATTCTAAAAATATATGGGAAGCATAGAAATTTCTGAAATGAATCTCAAACTACCAAGCAAAAATTCAAAAACATTAAAAATAAAAAAACTTCAAATTGTCGTTCTATCTGTGCAGGTGGAAATGTGAGCAAATGAAACTTTGCTGTATTAAAGAATGCAGGAAAAGTGAAAGTTGTGTACATAATGGCCACATGGTGGCGCTATTTCTATTAAAAATGAAGATTTCCTGAGCATTAATCCAATAATCCATCCTTCCACCAAATGTCACTGAAGTGTATGAAGGGAATAGTTCAGTGTTTTGGGAATTATACCTATTTACTGTCTTGACCAAATAAATAGTCACTCAGCAGCACTAAGTGACTTTCGGTACATTAATAAATACGTGTGAGTTGATCTTAAATAAATCAGCTTTGCAGGTGTTACCTGGTTTATTGAATTGTTTCTGCTTGTCCTTGGTCTTTATGCTATGCTAAGCTAACAACATTTTGATTCCACACCGATTACTTATTGCACAGAAACCACATTTATAATCTTCTTACTCTCAAAAGTCCTCTTCTCTTTAATTTTAATACCGCTGATTTTCCCGATACAGCCCATCCTGCACTGCTCCTTTTAAATTATGCATTTTATATACATTTTATAGACTCCATGTATTTCAATTAAGCTTTATAAAAGCAATGTAGAATATTTCTGTGGGTTTCATTGTTATCTTAAGCTCTATTTCACCACTGGGCTTCTTTTAATTGATTGTGGAATTTTTAATCCCTGTTGAAATGTAAATTATATTTAATGTGAAGCACTTTATGTTTGTCATTTCTTTAATTCTGACAAGTTTTTTTGCATTGATGGCAAATAATGTAACAATACTGTTGTTAGTATTACTACTGCTACTACTACTTGTTCAGTATTGGATTACTCCTCTTGGTTTTCTGCGACATTCTTCCAGCAAACAGACAAAGAGAACTGAAACACAGCCTATGTCGGCGGAGATACCTTTGTATATTTTGTGTTGTTGTTTTTTTTTTTTCTCCCCCTCGTCTTATTGCAATTTCTGTGTGTACTCTGAAGGTCTTGTTCAAGCTACGGTGAAGCCGATAAACACTATCAGTCACACAGGGGGATTAGTTACACAGAGTGCACCCATCCAACTCCTTCCCTGCCTCATTCCAGCTCTGATCATTTGCATGCCGCGGAGTGTTTGAAACTTACTGGACATCTTTGGTATGCGGATGGGACCGCTGCTGGTGCCATCGCCCCCTTCGGTTAGAGCTTTGATCTCAATGAGGTAGTCCTCCCCGGAAGGGATCTGCAGCTCGGCGCTGGTCTTATTGGTTTCCAGTACAGTGGTCTTGCCATGCCAATTCTGGCGATACACAACCTGGGGGAGAGCATGGATGCTGGGTTGAAAATGTAATTCTAGAAAGAAATTTTTTTAACTTTTATGACCTCTAAGAAGAAAGACATATGTGTTAATTCAACATAGTAAGCCAGTTTACGAAGAACAAATCCCAAACTCCAAAGTGTGAGAGGTGACTTTGATCATATAGTCCATCTCTAGAGGGACTAATGAATTCATATTACCTTGTAAGGGGCTAATTTGGTTGAAAGACTCAACAAAAAGGCCCATGGGTGCTTAAAACCATGACCTCAGACAACCTTTTATTCATGTAATTTCATCTTCCCTCAAATTGCAGGAGAGCGTTCTATTTTTTAATTCAAAAGAAACAAGAGCAAACGGCCAATTTCACATTAAAAACATGTAAAATATGTAAGATTTGACCGCTCGTAATTCACAGTACTGCTGTTTCCAAATTATTAAACCAGTCATGTCTGCGTGCGCTGCGAGCTCCCTTACAACAGAGCTCTACAAAAGACTTATCATTAAATGAGCAGGCCTGCATATCTGTAGAGAATTATATATATATATATATATATATTTATATATATATATTTGTGGAAAGCATTATCAAAAACTATGTGTTTTCCCACACAAAGTATGCAAAAAAGGATCAAATATGATTCATTGTCGCTGCTTAGAAGAAGCTGAATTCCCTCTGTGGCATGACGCCTTTCGTTTTATCACCTGGAACAGATCTTTTAATTTTGAAAGGCCAGACAGGGCCAATCCATAATGTAACACTGGAGTGCTGAGGTCTATCTTTCCACCGCAATGAGAAAGCCATTTATTGGGATGACAGCTGCCGAGGCTCTATTTGTTTCCCCAGTTGTGGAGTTTTCGCTATTACTCTGACAAACTCACCTTGTATCCTGTCACCTCAGACTCATTCTCCATCGCCTTGACATGTTCCCAATTTAGAAAGATCTTAGAGTTGGTCAGGTTCCACTCGATACTCCCCGGAGGCCGACTTGGAGCTGCAAAAGATATGTAATTATTTAGACAGAAGGTTTTCGCAAATGAATGTATAAACCGATATCGTCAACAGTGTTCTAACTCTGCAGCAGAGTCTTTGAATTAATCATGCGGCGTTTGAATTAGCATCGTACTCAGACACCAACACATACATATATACTCTTTAACCTTCGAGAACCCAGCGGAGAAAACCGGAGGTCAAGAAAAATAGAAAATGCATGCTGTTTGATTACCCTCTCATTTATGTGTGTGAAAACTCCTCTAATAAGGATGAAATGAAAGTTCACCCTGAAGCAGCACAGAAGTCTGCTGCATCGTATTTCAATATTTCAATAGTGTTCTGACTCACTAAGAGTAGCTGTAACGTTTAGCAATATAGCACATGATAAAGACGACAGAATATAACAGTTGAGCTGCTGAAAAGATTAGAATAAAAAGAAGGAAACATTCTGATAGAATGGCTTCAGTTGTCTATTTGCTTTTGATATAATAGAGCAGATTTTAATATGACTCATATTTATAACAAAATAATAGTTATTTACTCTCTGCCTCCATTGGTTCTGTCAAAAATGCTTTAATGCGATGACTGCAATGAACGAGTAACATACACAGAAGGAGCTGCATCCTGTTCTTAGCCTCTACCCAATACGACTGTCTGAAGAATTTCAAACATACGGAGCCCTGGAAGGGACATGGAGAAAGAAAAAACAGGGAAGGCAAAAAAAGACCAATCAGAGGTATCTAAAGTTTTGCGAGATCCCAAGAAAGTTTTGCCAGATCTCACAAACTTTCTTGGAATCTCGCAATAACTTTTGCAAGATCTCGCAAAACTATGTGTAACTCCAGTCCGGTAGGTGGCGGTAATGCACCTGAGCGTTGGATGCCAACCGCCAAATCATTAGAAGAAGAAGAAAACTATACGCATATATACTTCTGGGTGTTTTTGCCAGTATGGAGAAACGACAATGGAGGACACCCACCCGTTTGAGAGATTTATTGAGTTTTATTTTGAAATCAGCCTAAAATGCAATGACATTCAAGCGGTGTTTAGCAAGTGGCCCAATTTTCACCAAATAAGATTGATGTAATGTTCATGAGTTTGCGAGAAAGTTTTGCAAGATCTCGCAAAAGATACCTCTATTTATTTATTTTTTCCCCATCTCCCTGTTTTTTTTCTTTCTCCATGTCCCTTCCACGGTTCCGTACAAACACACCAGAGCTTATTTTTTTCATCTAGAACAGAATGATAATGAGTTGCAGTCAGACCATTCAACACAGCGCTAGAGAACGGTCTGGCTACGTAAGACAAGGCAGCAGTAAACACAGCATATCAACTTGTGCAAAGATACAGCTTCCGTGACACAAAATGCAACACGTTATGTCCTGTAATCATATCTTACTCGCTCATAGACAGTATTCTGCCTGTGTAGTCCTGAGACATATTCTTGTTTACATACAGTCGTCCTCAGATTTATTCATACCCTCCCATGAAAGAAGGGAAAAACTGCTGTCACTGAAATAAGGTGAAATTGATAAAAGTAATAATAAATAACATGACATTGCTTTTGAATTGTGGTTCAACAGAAATATTTAAAAAAAAAAGAAAAAGAAAAAAGCAAACAAGCATGATGGGACCCATAAACTAATATTTTGTTGAACAACCCTTTGAGCCAATCAGTGCAATCAAGTGTTTTCTGTAACTCTTAATCAGACTTCTGCACCTGTTGACAGGTGTTTAGATTCACTGCTCAACAGCAAAGTGTTCTTATTTGTCCAGGACAGTTTATTATTATTATTTTTTCTTTTTTTCTTTTCAACCACAATTCAAAAACAAAGTCTTATTTCACTAAATTAGAATTTAGCAAATTTTTATTTATTATTACTTTTTTCAGTTTCTAGTTATTTGAGTGACTCTTGTGACTTTTGCCTTTTCTTTAATGGAAGGGTATGAATACATTTGAGGACGACTGCAGCTCGACAAATCTGAACTCACTCGGTTTCAACGTCCTCTCTCTTCTTGCGTTGCAGTATATATACTTATACTTATTTTTTATTCAGGTAAAAGTAACTGCTGTTTAACATTTATCAGCTTCAACATGATCCACTTCATTTCGGTCACCGCTGTTTGAAGCACATGAAGAAGCTCAGCAGAGCGGCACAACAGCGCCACTCATGTTTCTGGTGGTTTATTTGCAAAGAGATACGCCAGCANATCAGGTGTGTTGGAAGAGGGGAAACATCTAAGACATGCAGGATTGTGGCCCTCGAGGACCAGGATTGGACACCCCTGAACTAGAGGGTAAAAAAAAAAAAGTAGCCAAACTACAGAGAAATCATGAAGGACAACCTGAAAAGAACTGCAGCTTCAGAGAAGATTTTATTTTTCAGCAAGATGATGACCTGAATCATACAGCCAAAGCTCCATAGAAATGGTTTAAAATAACAAGATGAATGTTTTAGAGTGTCTGAGTAAGAGCCCAGATCTGACTCCAGTTGGGAATTTGTGGCTTGACTTTAGAAGGGATGTTCACTAATGATCCCCGCGTAAACTGAGATAGTTTCCAGACGGGCAGGGATGATTGAGAACCATCTACACAGGCTCAATGCAAAGGTGCATCTACGATAAAGGATTGCAATTACTTATTTTTCATTTTCTATGTTTAATGACTCACTATTACTTGCTGGAAATCTATTTTTACTTTGACATGACAGAGGCTTTCTCCAAATTCTTGCCAAAAAAGTCAAATTAAATTGAACATGATTCAGTGTTGATAAGCAATAAAGGGGTAATGCTTCCAATGGGGAGGTGAATGCTTTTTATAGACACTGTATTTGCATTTCTCCTCAAATGTTGTCTTATTTTGGCCTTAAAATACAAATGCATCTCACCATGTTGGACATATTCACTGTAAAAATCAATTTCATTATGACACAGAGATTATGAGCTGAGATCAGGAAGCTTCCGGTGAGCTTCGAGGAAAGTCATATTGGTCTTGATTTTATCCTCCAAGACTAATGATTAAGGGATAAGCTGCCTAATCCATCATACATTTAATTGGCTCAACCAGGATCTCTGCTGCTGATATCAACTTTATGAGCGCGCTGTATGTACATGACTCTGACTAAAGCTTTCGCCTCTGCAATATGATGACAGACAGTATCTCGGAATATCAGCCTTTTGTTTGGTAATATGATGGTGTTCTTGTTATAAGTAATCCTGTTTTCTTAGAAGGCTTCGTCAGCCGACACAACGCCGGTTTTTATTAGAAAAGAATCGTGACTGCTGATGCCGTTTTATAGACACACGAGTGCTTCGGCTCCTGTATCTTAGTTACCTGCGAGGCCTGTTTTATGCTGGGCAGACGCTGCTCGGCTCATCCTTGATTCAACCCTGAATTAACTGCCTTCGACCAATTTTACAGTCGGCTGAATTTCCACTGGATCCACTGCTCACAACAACTGCTTAATTGCCTCATTAAACGATCACTGATCTGGCTTATGGACAACTTTTTTTTTTTTTTCGGCTGAAATGTTGCTCGGTTGTCTTGCAGTTTGAGCAGGTCAGAAATCTAATTTCCCACATGGCCTCTGTCAGATCTGTTTGTGAGCTTATAAGTGTGACTGGAGTAATATTTTTAATATCGGCTAACTGTAATCTTGACTGGGAGCTTGATGTGATGGAATCGGACGTCGTAGGCAGAACAGACCCATCTGCACGACCGTATCATTACAGTTTCTTTTGCAGAAATTCAAATATTGCTGCATTTGTCTTTGTCAACGTTTTTGACATCGCATCTATCTTGTTTGAATAAAACATTATGGTCAGCGGATAGAAATGATTATCTGTGTGCGAAGCCACATTTAGAGCAGTTGATGTTGTGTTGGGTGTGAGTAAAATACAGTTTAAGGAGGACAACGACGCTGGGATCAGCTGATCATGCTACTGTGGTAATAGTCCAGGGGATCAGAACGGGCTTTTATGTGCTGATAACAACATAAACAGAAGTGGCTTTTTAAAACGTGGCATGGGTAAGCAGGTAATCCAAAATGATCATTACATATAAATATTACAAAAGTGAAAAGGTGGTTTTTAATTCATGTTGCTAAAACCATCAAAGCAAAATCAGAAGACGAGCAATGCTACTGACTCATACATCCTTCTGAGGAGTTGCAACCCACAGCGAGCAACACAAAGCTGTTTTTATCAGACATATGTGGGGGAATGCAGCGGGGTCAGGCCTCACGAGCTCCTCATTAATGTATGCATGCGTACAAAACTCTGAGGGAGTGTACAGCAGACTGTGTGAAGCAATCGGGACCGAGACATTTGACTTGTGCTCACTTTAGCCAAGAAGCTGAGAAGCAAAACAGGAAATATTTGCGGAGAGGCAATATGAAAGTCTCACAGGATCGGGATCCTTCAGTAAACTTACTCACCACATTTGCTGTGCTTCTTCATTGGACTCTGCGGTGCAGCAGAAGTCTCCTCGGACCAATCTCGACAGAAATAAAAATCCGTCTCCGAGACAAGACAGAGCATATCAGCTGATTAAAGGGTTCCAGTGTGAAACTTTATTGAGTCTTTTCTTCGTCTCGCAGAGATGTCTTTGCATTTGTTAACATTTTTTGACAATATATCTTGTTTGAATAAGAAAATATGGTCAGTGGCTAAAACTGGTTATGAGTGAGAATCCACGTTTGGAACAGCTGATGTTCTACAGTTATGAACAAAAGTTTACATACTCTTGTAAAGGCCACATATAACTTGGCAGTCTTGAATTTTCACTGACTCATATACCTCATCATTTTTTTATGATGGAATCTTTGAAACAAAAAATAATCGTGATTTTTTTTAGTCTTTTAATAGATTGAGTATAGGTCTTGTGGAAAAGTGATTTTACAAAAAAAAAGCTTTACATCACCATGGGCTGAGAGGCTGCTGTGCAAGAATTAAGGCCTTCCTCCAGCACCTTAACCCTTTATAGGGAACTCCTTGAAATAC